GSGGSGGGGGGGGGGGGGGGKTAGGRCTTAGGGGAAGGAAGCCCTTTCCTCTGTGGCCCCATCCATACCTCCGATCCCCAACACTACTGCCACCGCCAACGGCTGAATCCCTGCAAGCTTTACAGCCTCTGATGCGCGCGCGCGCGCGCACACACACACACACACACACACACACGACCCAGAAAATGCAGTTGGGGGGTCCTGTCACGGAATCTTTAATTAGACACGGGGATGCAGGGGTGGGCAACCATCCTTTGCTCCTGGACTCTCTGGCTCTTCCCTACTTTGCCAACCCGCTGTCCTTCCTCTCAAGTCATCATAGGCAGCAGCTTCTGGAACCGTCTGAGAAGCGCAGCTTGCAGGGTGGCCGGGAGGAAGTGGAAGAGTAGTCCGAGGGCAGCCAGCGCCACAAGCAGCCAGAGCGCGTGGGCGCTCGCGTACAGGGGGGCCAACCTGCGGGCCAAGCACAGCGGGTGCAGGCGGAGGCAGGAGGAGGCTCCGCCTCTCTCCAGCTCACGCACCAGACCTGTCCACCCTCTCCGCTCAGGGTTAAGGCACCGCCTGGCAAGCCGATGGCCAGCTATCTGCCAAGGGCCCGGGCCTTCAGAACCCTGCCCATAAGCGATCTTTCCCCAGAACGGCTTTACTAGGAGTCCCGCCCGGGGTTCTCACCTTAGTTGCGCCGAGCGCGCGTAGCCCTGGAAGTAGCGGAGGCGCGCGAACAGGTAGACCAAACCACACAGAGCTGCCGCGCCTGCGAGAGTGACAGGTGAGCTCTGGGGGACCCCAAGGGACCCACTGCAACGCCCATCTCCTGCCCCCAGACCTTCGTGGAAAAAGATGCCAGCGACCCAGAGCATTGCGAGGAACAGCGGGAAGTACTCGCTGCAGTTAACCCTGTGGAGGAGGCGGGGTAGATGAGTCCGCCGGTCTGGTTGGTCCTCTGACCCTAATCCGCCTCATTCTCGCTACTCTCTCCGCGCCCTCCCGCCGCTCCTCACTGGGCTCGGTAGACGCGCTCGAACTCAGGCGGACCGGTGGTAAGCGGCGGGGACACGCGGAAAGCCCTGCGCGCCCAGATCACCTGCAGAGAGAAGTAGGCTGGGAGCAGAGGGGAGGCCAGAGTCAGGTCTGGACGCCCCGCAGACTTGTGAGGAGGCCTTCTCTTGTCTCACCCTGCACTTTCCCTTCTTCACGCAGAACGATTCCCCTCTAACTCCATTCCACGAGAATCTCCTATCAGACCCGTCTGCCGGCTATATCAAGGATGCTTAATGGGGAGGGTGAAGCTGTGGGCAGGGAAAGGCCCTGTCCTTTCTGCCTCGTGAGTGGTGCAATCTGTTGGTGGGAGAGGCCACATGAGACTTTGCTCCTGAACAATTTGACTTGCAAAACTTAGGCAAATGCCCAACTTCTACTCTCGAAGCATGGACTTCAGCTTTCTAGTCTCTGGACAGGAAGTGCCACCGGTGGGCGGGGGCATAGGGGGTGGGAGTGATGAGATGTGGGGGAGGAGGCTGAGGTAGAATTAAACTCTATTCCTCCAAATCCAAGGAAGCACACCCTAGTGGCTAAGAGACCCTGTTCACTCAAATCACCCAGAAAGGGCCCCCTGATGCTGCTTAAAGCTTAGGTCACTCAAGCCTGTGTCCCAAGGCCTCCAAACTGTGGCATAGGCTCCAGTCTATTTTTCTGTTCAAATATTATAGACTCAACCCTAAATCTTACAGATGCCTTCTTTCCTGCTCCCAAGTAATTTCAGCCGGGACTTTCCCAGCCTAACTCCAGGATGCCCAGGAAAGGTGCAGAAAGTGGGCTGGCCATAAGGGGCCCTTCTTTTGCAGTGCGCAGAGGTCTAGGCCAGGTCCTGACCTCACACACAGGCCTGTCTCCCGGTGAGTTCCATGGCCCTAGTGCCTTTGGTGCCAGGCCCTTTGTAGACATATCCCATTTCAAGTGTACTGTAGGTGCTAAGGGGTGACCATGCCAGCACAATGTAGATTATGGAGCTAAACCTGTGGCTACATGAGAAGAAATTGGGGACCCATCTTGTTTGTGATGCTAGAGGTCACGTTGACCTGCCTGTTTAGTCCTTTCAGGACCTCAGAACAGACTGTGCCATATCTTAGCCCTCATATTGCTGGGGCAATGGTGACCTCAAACAGCAGAGATATCTGGCCCAGGAATGTGTCTAGGGCCAGTCTGAGAAAAGCATCAAAGTCAGGCACCTTTCGGGGAACTAGGAAGCAGGTTTCAATCCTGTCCAGGTCTGCATGGTCCCAGTGTGGAAGGTGCCTTTGAAGGAAGGGCAAGGGAATGGGCACTCCTTGGGATTCCCAGAGAGGGACACTGGAAAGGACAGAAATCAGTTGCTCTAAGCCCATGACCTGCCATCCTGGTAGTCTCTATATACAAGGGCCATCCTACCTTGGGCCATGGAGGGAATTCTTCTCCCAAGAATGAAGGGTGCAGTCATGAATGGTCCCACCATTCATTTAGGTGGTCTCCCACCCCCAAGTCCTACAGCTCCACACAGTTGGATACCACACTAGAATCCTTTGGGAGTCCTGCCGTCCTCCAGGCTTCTTATGCTGGCTAAGAGGCCACCAACCCCCATCCCCAAGCCAGCACCTAGCATGCCTACTTCAGTTGTCCCTCAGCAGTCTTTTTCCTTCTTGCTGCTTGTCCCCCTTATTCATCCAAGCCTCTCAGTGTTAGTAACTGCCCAGAGTTTCACAGCTTGTCCTGCAGACACCCCCACAGCTTTCCCTTCCCTACTTTATGAAAATCCAAGTGAGCCTCTCAACCAGAACTCAGGCCCTAGGACATGTAAGTCTCCAGTGACTCTGGAAAAGTGTGGGCCTTGGCAATAGGAGCCTAGACTGGAGGTAACCCTCTGCCCTTCACCCAGGTCTGGGACCCCCATCCCTTTCCCAGGGTCTGGAAGATAGAAGACAGATTGCGTGAGTCTGATGCCTACCCACTTCCAGATAGGAGCCATCCTACCTTGCAGCAGGACTCCCAGGAGGGTAACACTGGCCAGAAGAGCCACCTYGTCTTTCATGGTGCCAGTAGTGGAAGGGCTAGCTGCAGAGTTCTTATCAGCCCATCTGCTGCTCAGAGGCGGGCCCCAGAGAGGAAGAGCAGCTCAGCACCCACTCCACCCCTTCTCAGTGGAGGGGGGTGCATAGCGGGGGAGTAACCACAAAGGCAGGGAGCCTAGGCTAGCTGGAAGGGCGGAAGCCAGAACTGGGGACAGTCTGGCCACTTCCCTAGTTCTTCTTGCCCCTTCCATGACTGGTTCTGTGTTGACAGAGCCCAAGCTGTCCACTCAGGCCTGCTTCAGTGCTGGGTATGTCCAGTTGTTTTGTTCCCCCACAGTTTTTCCCTTGCTCTGCACCCTTAGCTGGCCCCAGATGGCCCTTCAGACTTCCCCTTCTTCCCAAGTCCTAGACTCCAGGCTCCCAGGCTCCCAGCCCTGATTCGCCCACCCACCCATACCCACACTTCCCTATTTCCCCACCTCTAACCAGGGCTGTTCAGTAGTGTACAACCTTCAACAACAATGACTATAACCTTCCCAGCTTCCTCTGGCCTCATAATGAAGTCCAAGTGCCCCCAGTCACACTAGGCCTAGCCATGTTCTTGATCCTTTCAAGCAACATCATGCCTGCCATCCTGGTAGCCTCTATGCATGAGGGCCATTCTACCTTGGGCCATGGAGGGAATTCTTCTCCCAAGGCCTCCTGGCTGGCAGGGTGGGTCTTCTTACTTGGGAGTCTCTGACCCCAAGCAGTCATCTGGCTTTTTCTGCACAGCATCCCAGTTAGCTCAGGATAACATTTCTCACTTTTCTGAGGCTCCAATCCTCCCACACTTTAGTCCTGTGATCTGGACAGAACTGACTCTTGCCCCTCCCAGGCCTTGGGATGGACAAGTGAGCCAAAACTGTGAGCCAGCCAGGCCCAGTGGTGTGTACCTGTAATCCGAGAGGCTCGGAAGGCTGAGACAGGAGAATCACAAGTTCAAAGCCAGTCTCAGCAACTTAGCAAGACCCTATCTCAAAATAAAATACAGAAAGGGCTGCGGATGGGCTCAGATGTTAAATGCCCCTGGGTTCAACTCCTGGTACCAAAAAACAAAACTGTGTGAGCCAAGGCTGACTCAAGATGGTGAGATGTGATTCTGGAAAGTTTATTAGCAATTTGGGCAAAGAAGTTTAGAGTTGGGAGAGAGACAGCCAAGGGCACCAGAGGACTCCGGCTTGTGAGCCCTGGGGCCCACCTTGCCTGCCATGCTCTCCCAGGCCCTTCCGCCTTTTCAGGGTTGTGTTGTTGTTGTTTTGTGATACTTGGGACTGAACCTTGAGGTGCTTACTCTGCCACTGAGCTACATCTCCAGCACTTTTGATTTTTTATTTTGATACAGGGTCTTGCTAAATTGCCGAGGCTGCCCTTGAACTTGCGATCCTACTGCCTCAACCACAGAATAGAGTAGCTGGGATCACAGGCGTGTTCCCCTATACCCAGCCAGTCTTTTCAGTTTTGTGAAATGTCACTTCTCTTTTTGACTAAAGCTGTTTCGAGGTGGGCTTGGTCAGTGATAACAGATTCAAGATTGATACAGAAGATGCAAAGGCATGCCAGCTTGGTGACGTGCTGGTAATGCCAGAGACTGGGAGTTGAGGGTACAAAGGTAGGGGCCATTGAAGGCCACAAGCAATCATGGCTTTGCTGTGGAAAAGGAGGGGACAGAGTAACTGCTACTTCACCAGGTCTTGAGCCACCAGGATGCGGTCCCACATGCACACACTGGCTGGTCACACCAGAAGAGTCTCAATATGTCTAGGTCATTGACCTTGGAAGCTCCACGCTTAACATTCAGCTAGCCTCCTTTCTTGTTGTCCCCAAGCCCTGGTTCCAGCCTGAGGACTTTGTGCCTGCTGGGCTCTCCCAGAACCCCTTTCTCCATCTCCTCACCTGGCCAATAGCCACTGCCGTTTGCTCATCATCATCCCCAAGACAACAGATGATCCCCAATTGGGGGCCCTGTAAGTTCTTCAAGGTCAGGGGTGGGTCCTCATGCTTGTCCCCTGACTTAGGCCAAGGTTTGACAGGAGCAATTATGCCAAGTGTTGGAAGATGATTGATAGAAGCCAGGAGACTGAGTGCCAGAGAGCAATGCCAGCCACATCTTTCTTTGGGCCTTCTCTGCCACTCAGCCCACTTCCTCCCTGAACCTGTTATAAGGAGTCACTTCAAAAAACACTGAAAATTCAAATCAAAGAGAACTTTAATTACCTGGCCAGGGACTGTCACCCACCTGTAGAGACTGAAGCTCTGTAGGAGAACAGCCATTTCCTGGCCTGTGTCTTAGGAATTTAAGGACGAAAACCACAGCTCAGGGGCTTTCCTTAGCGTCATGCAAGCAAGTCAATCATAGAAGCTAAAACAGCAGTTAGCACAGCAACTCAATCGCATCTTGGGTTTGAGCAGGTGTCAGACAACCTTATCCTGAGTTCAAGTAGGTGATTAGTGGGAGCCAGAATCTACTTCAAAGTCTTGGATCACCAAGACCACCATATCCTGGGTTGAGTACATTTTGTAGGGTACAAAGTACAGAATACCATATATTATAAAAAAAACAGCTTTCATTTCAGTTTCTCAGAAACAGCTCTTGTAACAATTTTTTGTTTTTTGTTTTTTGTTTTTTACACAAGGCAGCAAAATGGAGTCTTAGGCCTGCCTATGACAGTTCTTGTTTTATAATTGTCTTATCTCACTTATCAAAATCTTATATCTAGGGCTGGGGATGTGGCTCAAGCGGTAGCATGCTCGCCTGGCATGCGTGTGGCCCGGGTTCGATCCTCAGCACCACATACAAAGATGTTGTGTCTGCCAAAAACTAAAGATAAATATTAAAAAACTCTCTCTTTAAAAAAAATTTTTTTAAAAAATCTTATATCTATAATCTAAATTTTTTATTAATCTATAACCTACAGCTTACACTCTTACTGATTGTATTTATCAGTTCACACCACAACAAACCTTCCCTGACTGCAGCCCCCACGGCCCTGGTCTCCCCTCCAGACTACCAAGGCCTGTATTAGGGAGGGCAGGGCACGTGTTGCTAGGCAGGCACCAGCATAGGATCTGGCAGCTGTGTCCCCATGTGCCTCTGTAAACTGTGTGGTCGCCCACATGCCTGTTAGTAAACTGTTACAGGCCTCTGGAGTCTCTCAGTGCATTGTCTCAGAGCTCACCCATGGGCCTGTTGGCATGTCTGGGTCTTTAGTTCAGACCCTCTCTCCACCAGGCTCTCATTTCCTCTGAGGCCTGGATGTCCTCCCATCTAGGAACATCCCCTCTGCTCTCATAACAGGAAACTATGGCCTGACATCAGCAGATTCTGAGGAAGTCCCTGGACAGATGTCCAGGCCGGGCCCAGGGTCTCAGTCTGTTTGTGCTCACCTCCTTCCCTGAGTTTGCCCAGACTCTCAGGACCCTGTCTAGGGTTGGCCATGCTCAGACTGACAGGAAGAGCCAGCCCAAGGTCCACCAGGCACTGGCCACCCACCCTCTGCCCTCCTGTCCAGCCCTGGAGACACCAGGGCTGTGAAGAGGAAGGGAAAGCTCCTCCCTGAGCTCCTGCAGAACCTGCCCTGTGTGACCTCAGCCCCCACATGGCCAGGAAGAATCTTCTGGATGCTGAGCTCTTGAAGGGCCTCTGGGACATAGAAAGGCCCTGCTGGTTTTCAACTATGAGGTTGAAAAGGAATCAGAATGCAAATACAATAGACCCTCAGCTGTAAAGTACAAATAAATAAATATGTAAATACAGAAACCATGTTATCCTTACAAAAAGTTGCAAAAATAATCCACTCTTCACTCAGCCTCCTCTAGTAGTAAGTATAGGGGCCGGGGCTGGGGCTCAGTGGTTGAGCACTTGCCTCGAACGTGTGAAGCACTGGGTTTGATCCTCAGCACCACATAAAAATAAATAAATAGATAAAGTTATTAAGTCCATCTACAACTAAAAAAACATTTAAAAAAGATATATAGTATAAGCATCATATAATTATGTAAACCAAGAGATTTCACATTGATATCTTCAAGCCATTTTACAGATTTTATTTAAATTTCAGTAACTGTCCCATTGAAAGAGTACAGAGACTTTGAGAAACACAAAAGACCACAGATTCTATTTACATGAAATGTCCAGAAAAGGCAATTCCGTAAAGTCATAAAACAAGCCAGTGGCTGCCTATAGCTGAGAGCATGAGGGACCTTATCGGAATGATGAAAATGTTCTAAAACCAGCTTGTGGTAGTGTTTGAACAAGTTGGTAAATTTAATAAAAATGATTGAGTTGTGTGCTTAAAATAGATGAATTTTGTGGTATATAAATGATACCTCAATAAAGATGTGTTTAAATGTTTGTAAATCAGGGCTGGTATATGGCTTAGTTGGTAGAATGCTTGCCTAGCATACACAAAGCCCTGGGTTCAATCCCCAGCTCCACCAATTAAAAAAAAAATTACAAATAATTTTTGTGTACCTTTTACCTATTTTCTTCAAATGTTGACATTTTTTTTTTCTTTCAGTTCTGGGGATTGAACCCAGAGCCTCCTTCATGCTAGAAAAGTTTTCTACCACTGAACTATACCCCTAAGCCCTCCACCGTTTTATAGCAACAATAAAATTATCAAAGCCCATAAATTAACATTGATATAAGACTATTAACTAATCTACACACTATTAACTTTTCATTACTATAACAAAATACCTGAGGCAGGACATTTTGTAGATAAACAAAGTTTATTTAGCTCACAGTTTTGGAGGCTAGACATTCAAATGGCATGATGCAGGTTTTGCTGAGGGTCCTTCTTGGCTGTATAACATCACAGCATGAGTATGGTATGTCTCTGTGTGTGTCTGGTCTCGCTTTCTTTCCTTATTAAATTAACCCGGATTAAATCATGAGGACTCCACTCTAATGAACTAATCTAACATATTCACTCCCCCAGTGCCTCACCTCTACACACTATAATCCAATTAATTTCTACCCTCTTAATACCATTAACATGAGATTTGGGAAATTCAGCTCCTGCAAGGGTT